TATAGGATATCAGATGTAAAGAGAAAATGTAATTCACTTCTCATAATTAATTGGGAGAAGTCCCATCACCTGGTTAGCATGAATAACTAAGTGCCCAATCTAAATTTAATCTAGTCTGATTATATAAACAGCTGCTGTAGGGCCTGGTCTCTAGCTGGAGTAAAGTCTTCTCTCCTTCTGTCTTTTCTGTAAGATGAGATGAGAGAAGAGTGTGTGGATGACTTGACCTTGCACTTTGGAAGAACAGAAGAATGCCCTGACCTTGTGCTAGTCACCGGGTCTTCACTAGTTATCTTCTGGGTTCCGGAGCAATGCTTCCTGTCACCAGTTGACTATTAAGGCTTCAGTCTGTGGCTAGTGTATCCATGGCCCTTCATCTGGGGCTGGGCAACACTCCTAGAGTAACTGGAACTCCCTTCAGCTCTCCAGATTGTGTGCCCGTAAGCCTCCACCTACCCCCATGTCTTGTGGCCTGCCCAGCCTCCAGTACAGGATGGACTGCAGGCATCTGGCAAGCCCACTGTTTCACTGGCTGGCTGGCTGGCTTGCTCTTTCTTTCTTTCTTTCTTTTTTTATTTCTTTCTTTCTTTCGGAGGGGGCAGTAATTAGGTTTATTTATTTATTTGTTTGTTTTTAATGGAGATCCTGGGGATTGAACCTAGGATCACATGCATGCTAAGCACTCTACAACTGAGCCATACCCTCCCCCAACACTGGCTTTCAGTCAACATGCACCGCGCACATGAGCTGAGAGGCTGGGGGAAGGTCAGCCTGATCCTTTCCCAGCCTGATCATAACATCCCACTCTTTTAACTAGGTTGCCTTGCCTGTGATGTTACAGGTTCCTTCTAGAATTCCAAAAGGAGAATGGGGAAGAAAGATCTTTCCATGCTAGGTATATCCCAGAATTTACCTAACACATGTCTTCTTCAAGCTCAATGAAAGGAAATTAAGACACACTGACTTGTTTCTTCCTCTCACACTCTCTCTCATCTCTTTCTTTTCCTCCCTTCCATGATCCTTCAGGACTGAGAACTTCCATTTTATCTTTCCTGTATACTCATGTACTCTCTACCACACAATAGCTACCATCGGGGCTTTGTTACTAACAGCAGAAAAGCCATTTTTTCTACACTTTGGTAGAACACGTTGACCTGTCTCCTCCAGGTTTGGTTTAACGAGGTAATAGTGAGAGAAGAAAGGATTACTAAAGGAATATGGCAGACCTTCTCTCCACAAAGTCTGGGTCTCAAGCATATTGTTTTGTTCAGGGCTAAATGAGCAGTCTTTTCTGGTTAATGTTGAAATAAAATACGATCTAAAAAGTAGAATTAATTTCGACAAAATGCTGTCCACTTTTACACTGTAACATATGTTATTAATCCCAGAAAACTGAGGCACAACGGAGCTAAATAATTTACACAGGTCAAATTCCCCTTTCTCCTAACTGTGTGGATGCCTCATTTGCCTTCATTAATAAGATGCTGATACTTTGGTTGAGAGATTAGTTCTTTCTCCCTTGCAGAAACACACAACAGTCTGCACTG